AATATTTATATAAAATGCTTTATAAAATATAAAATATTTAATATATTTACCTATCTCATATAATCTACAACTGATATAAAATGCGTAATTGATACATCGCTTATTGAAATTCAGAATAAGGATTAAGAATAAAAATGCGAATGAATTATTGAGGCAATCGAATATCAAATAATTCTAGAATGAGTCCTCTTTTCAAATTCAATATGGGAGAAATGTATTATTTAGTCGAGACCTTCCATTGGTCCTTCAAGCTCGACGGAATCAGCAGCGTTAATGTAAAACCAAAATTTCGACTCGAGATTCCGCTGTGTGCAGAAATCATTCTTTTTTTACACTCGTGGGAAATCGTGGAATAGCATATTACGAAATGTAATGTTTTTTAATTCGATCTATCTAGTGTACTGAATAAATCTAGTCTAGGTGTGAGGCTGGGCAAGTTTGCGAGTCCCTATTGCACGGGGCCGCACAGTCGCGCAGGTAGGCGCATTAAACGAGAATTACCCGCTTGCATCATATCCTCGAACACGAGGAGGATACGGATCACAACTCTGCGGACACCCGGGACTGTCTTAGATTGCGTGCCAATGCTGCTGAATAATTTTCGTCCCTCATCGCATGAAGGCGCGGTCCGATCGCGATTTTCCCGGCGAAGGGGCGAGAATATAGGAAACGCCGTTCGGAGAGTTATACATCGGAGGTAATAAAACGCCCTGGTAATTACTCAGCCAGACAATCATTAATCTTCATCGCTGTATCGATCGCGTCGGTAAGTTGCCTCTTGCGACTCTCCATCGCTGTTAATGAAACGGACCGTAATAAGCAGACCGCGATTTTCTGAGATTTCTAACATCAAATTCCGTTCCCACCAGTTGTATCCGACTTTCGCATTAGCGCGAGAACGGAAAAGTAAAGGATGTTCGTATAAAGCTCGGATACGTACACATTCGTCGTGAGAAGCGATATTTTATCATCTCCTTATCGCATTTATGTTATTATAAGGAGGGAGGGGAGGGTATTCGTTTATTTAGCGGTCCGAAGAAACCGCAATTAAAACGCGCGCTCCGGCACACCTTGTACGCATTTCTAAAATTGCGTTAAAGCGTTAAATGCGCCAATAGAGCGGCCGAATGAGACAGCCCGAGGTCTTCATAATGCCGTGAAAGAGCCTTTAACTTTTCTCTCCCCCTCGATAGGTACCTACACTATTTGAGAACCGTCAGTAGGCTCGACGACTTGCGGCGCATTCGCGACGGAAATAAATACGGAATGAAAAGGACTCTCTTTTCACGGAAGGATATAATTGCCAGAAAAATAAACGATCGCGAAAGTCTGTTTGCCCACGTCTTCC